TTAAAGTATTTTTTATAGTTATTCTTGATGACTAATATAACATATATACCCAAACAATACATTACTCTCAAGAATTCATACTGTTAGGAATTAATCATGCAAAACTCTTAGACCCGTGGCCTGATTCAACTCAGAATTGCAACTGTGCTTAGCACAGGATCAGAGACTCAGTTCACTTCCTCTATTTCCACAGAAGATATTCATAAATGGAGGTTATTTCTGTACTTAAAGGCTGAAGAACAGCATTCCATATCTGAAAATACTATTTTACCGTATAACTTTAAAATGGAAATAAACACTTTAAACACTTAAAATTTATTACTGAAATTAATTTAGCAAATTTCACACAGAAGTCAACTATCACAGAATCATACGATAAGTACTTTAACGAGATTATATATAAGCATGAGATATGATCAGATCTGGACCTGATGTATACTCCAGTGATTCCAGTACTGTATTTTCTCCTTCCCCAGAGAAATTCTTGAGAAGACTCACTTCATTATTTACAGCAGCTGGATTTAGTCTTACATCTCTGCAATTAATAGAAAATGGGTTAAAATGTATTCATGAAAAGGATGTACTCAGAGAAATAAAAAGAGAATATCACATGATTTTTTTCTTTTACACCAAGTCTTAATAGTAGCAACAAAAGCTGGAAATGGGTCATCTTCGATTGTTTTTCTTAATTTTATCTGTTAGTTTAGTAAAATTTTAGTTCCATAGCTAACATAAAGTCCTTGTAGTTTTGAAACAGGCTCAATGCAATACTTAATATATTTCCATGAAGAAATAAATATTTCCTTGAAAACATTTAATTTAACTAACTTTGTTGTTTGCACAAATGAGTTCAATTTGCTACCAAAATTCAAAACACATGCAACAAACAAACCACACTCACAGGCACACACTTGCACAGCCACACCTACAGCAAGATCAACATGAGAAAAAAAAAAGACTATTTTTTCAATAACTTAGTGAACAGTGAAAGTTATTTCAATCACTTTCTTTATGTCACACGAAAAGCACACACTGTGGGTTGAAACCAATCTAATTTAACAATAAAAACAAAAAAATGCACTGGCTGACATGCTTAGCTTCCAATTGAAATGCACTTACTGTGAAATTTGTTTCAAAGAACTATTAAGCAGTTGCAAATCCAACTGATGAAGCAGAAGAAAGATTTTCATTTTCACCTCTGTTTCAGGGTCACCACCTTTTTTCACTTTCTCAAGTAAATGCAAGATGGACTTATCTTCTCCTTTAACAGTCCCATATTCAGGGCCAAGAATTTGCACTATAGGATCTCTGTTAGCTGAAAACATGAACCATAATCATATAATGTGATACTATGTTTAAAACTGTTAGGCAAAACAAGTATTTTTTATCTTTCTCACAAGATTAAGACTCATGCAACCAAGAGGTGAATATTACATACTTTCCTTTATCAATAGCCACCTTACCCAAAAATATGCCTGGCTGATCACAAAAAAAACAGGAAATCAATGGATTTAAGTCACTGAAAACTGATAATTTTGTAAACATGATTTAGTGTTAAAGAACATCTTCAAAGTTTTCCAAGAGCATTCCTAATGGCCCCATTACTTCCTCACAGCTATGTCAGCTGTTCTTTTTGGGAAACAGTGACATAACTGCATATCAATGGGTTTAAAAAAATCATTTTGCTGTGTTCAGCAAATGAAGTCCCATGCATCTATGAATGCATCTGCATGATACCCTGTCCATATTATTCTTCCTTATTATTCATGTTTGATCACTTGTCAGTGACAGGACCCTAGATTATTAGATTGATCTGATGTCTGATCCAGTATGAGCATTTATATTTTAGCATTGCAGATATAATTTCCAATTACCAAATTCCCAATTTTGGAATTTCTCAATTTTTTTCTAATTTTCCAATTCCTAAATAATATTACTAATCTCTTCTAGCTACAAGAGGAGGATATCCCGTTTAGGATATCAAGGGTCTTCTTGTCAGTTTGAAAATCTGACACACTGGAATACCTGGACTTGAGTATAACACTCGAGAAGTACTCGATCCTCTATTTTAAAAGCCACTGTAAGAAGGACCTAGAAGTGCTCACTGTGAAGCTTGTGCAGGTGAGAATATCTTAATTGTGTAAGATATTTTTTTCCTGTTTTTTAAGGATGTAACATTTTGAAAGAAGATCAAACTACAAATATCTGAAAAACTGCTATTAGCCTCCAATAAGACATTCTTTTTCAGAAATTTAAACCTACTGCCTGCTGCAATAGCTAGGGTATTACTCAGTATGTCTTAATTTGTAGATGATATTCAACAGTTTTAGCTTTATTCCAGATTTCTGTTAGTGATTTATGTGAAAATAAAAGAAGCATTAAGTTCTTTATCAGCCCTTTTAGCCACCTTCCATATACTTAGAATGAAGGTATGCCTTTCTGCACATAAACATGAACTGAAGAAGACATACTTTTTAAAAGAAAGAAAATATTAAGAAAACAAAAGAAGAAAGGAAACCTTCAAGGCATGCCTGTACTTCCTTTAACTTTTTTTCCATTGCAATTTGTAGCACACAGGACAGCTGGTCGAAACTACGAACTCTCAGAGTTGATTTTGTGAGAAGCAGCAATGACTGGCCATCTTTAGCTTTGGCTTCAGACTGAGCAGTTGCTTCACTAGAAAAATTGAATTATATCCTTTTAGAATAAGGCCTTTAACCACAAATTTTAGAGGACAAGCTTCACATGATAAAGCATATGCAATTTCTTTAAACTGTATTTCAGAAAACTCCCAAGGTAAACCAATTTTTTCACTGCAAATCTGCAGGTGGATGTCCCTGAGGGAGGCTGGGACCCCATGGAGAGCCTGTACTGGAGCAGTGGCAGGACCAATGACATGATGGAGAGAAGATCTCATCCTGGCAGGACTTCTGACCCTGCAGGGGACCCATGCTGGAGCAGACTGCTCCTGAAGGGCTGCACACTTGGAAGGGACTCACAATGGAGCAGTTCATGAAGACCTGCAGCCTATAGGAAGGACCTGTTGGAGAAGTTCATGGAGCACTGTCTCCTGTGGGCGAGACTCCATGCTGGAGCAGAGGAAGAGGGTGAGGAGGAAGGAACATCAGAGACAATGTGCAATGAATAGACAGCAATCCTCATTCCCCATCCCCCTGTGCTGCTTAAGGGTGAGGAGGCAGAGAAAATCAGGAGTGAAGTTGTACTTGGGAAAAAGGGAGGAGCTGCAGGGAAGGTGTTTTAAGATTTGCATTTATTTCTCATTATCCTACTTTTGATTGACAATAAATTAAATTAATTTCTGTGAGTCAAGTCTAGTTTGCCCATGACAGTAATAGGTGAGTGATCTCCCTGTCCTTATCTCAGTCATGGGCTATCTGTCATATTTTTCTCCCCCATCCAGTTGAGGAGGGGGAGCGACAGAGTGGCTTTGGTGGGCACTTGGCATACAGTCAGGGTCAACCCACCACACAGGAGCCACTCCTAACACTAACACAAATCTCAGGGTTAGTCACTGTTATATGCTTTTTATAAAAGGAATAGAGAGTGTAAGCTGTAAACATCACTAACTAAATGGGTCTGTATCACATCCAAGATAGAAGAGTCTTAAACTCTTGGGGGGGGGGGGGGAAGCAGCAAATTTTAACTCAAATTTTTAATACATATCATTAAATCCCCACCCATTTTAGCCTCCCAAATACACTAAAGCACAGCTGGCTTGGTAACTCACCTTCACAATTTCAAAATACACTGCAATTCAGACTCACCTGATCTCATAACCGTTTACAAATGCTGAACAATGCAATTGTGTTTTCCACTCAAGGGGCTCTTTGAAGACAAATGCTGCTTCCTGAGGATATCTAGTGCTGAAGTCCTCCACAAACTTTATAATTTGATTTAAAAGAGATTCGTTCAAAGGGGTGATTTCGAGTGTGCCAGCTCCAGAACCAGCAGCAGTCCACTGAGCTGCACTGGCCAATGCCGCTCCCATGGTGTCAGTCAACTAGTATCAAAGTATCAAATACCTTTGCAAAGAAACAGTCAGAAAATTACCAACCTGAGCTCTCAAATGACAAATGCAATATGCTGTGGCTGTTATAATTTGAAATAAACATAGAATCATAGTTACTGAAGTTGGAAAAGCCTTGTAAGATCATTGAGTCCAACTGTTAACCCAACACTGCCAAGTTCACAACTAAACCACGTCCCTACGCACCACATCTACACTTCTTTTAACTCCCTCCAGGGATGGTTACTCCACCACTTCACTGGGCAGCCGGTTTCTTTTAACTCATTTAAATCCTTGAAATGGGGAAAGGAGAACTGAAGAAGACAACTCACAAAATTTAAAGAAATGGGGAAATCAGGTGAAAACACGGGGGTTTTCCATGTTAATTAATTTCTGGTGCTATTAGAAACTCAGGGAGCTGACAGCAGCAGGCCTCTGTTGTGGCTGTAACAAAAGGCATTTGGGCTCTCCTTGTGAAGTTGATACCACTGTTAAAATGTGCAGGTGGACAGACACATACAACCCCAACAGTGACCCTCCCCAGACACTTTCTTTAAACGCAGGAAAACGGGGGATGTCAGACCTGCCCTCCAAGCCTGGAGAGGCCGAGAGCCACCAAAGTGCAACGGGCATGGGGAAGCTTCACCCCGAGGAGAGTCCAAGGCACCCGGCATGGTGCCTACCCACTACAGACCTCAGGAGGAGGCGGGAGGGATCCTGGGGCCCGACGGCCGTGTGCGGGTGCCCCGGGGACGCAAGGAGCCCCGCGGATGGTCGCCCCTCACCGCTATCCCCCATACCTTGCCTCGGGTGAGCCGCGCCGAAGCCCGCCATCGCCGCTGGGGCCGCGGCCGAGGCCGGAGGCGTTGCTATGGGGACGGGCCCAAGCGGCAGCCGTTACCGCGTAAACACAGGCGAGCCCGGAGGTGGGGAAGGGCCAGTGCCCCGGGCTGTCTGCTCTCTCCCTCGGCATGCAGACCGGTGTGCCTGTCGTGGCCCTGAGGGACAGGATGAAGGTGTTCCGAACCCCGGAGAGCAGGTGGATGGGTGCGACGGATAGTTGCTGCTGCAACTGCTGTCTACAGTGCCCCTCAAACTCCGGTGGTGCGCAGGTATGAACGCCTTAATAAAGCTTGCACTGTGGTTTAAAGCCATTTGTGACCTGGGAAAGGCGGCTGAGAGCCCACAAAGGGTGAAGTAGTCTTGGGCAGAAAGGTTAGAGAGCAGGACTCAGGGTTGTGGCTGGTGAAGCTGAGGCTGAGAGGGCAGGACGCTTCTCACTAGCAGGTACGAGGACTTAAAGTGATAAAACAGGCCGTGCTTTTGGCGTGAAATTAAACAATGTAATGATTAGAGTTACTCTACAACAGAGTTTAAAGGAAGACCACCGAATACTTTTTAGCTTGAATGTTAGCCAATACAGCTTAAACCTTTCACTAGCTTTCAGCTGTTAGAAGAAAACAGCTTTAATTAGTAAGGTTAACATTGACCGCTTTTAGTTCTTGAGGCAGTGTGACACATTTTGCTTAAAAGGCTTTCTGTTAAAAAAAAAAAAGTAATGTAAAATTAGTGTTCCTGAAAGAAACTAAGGAAATATGTATGGGCAGTGCCAATGAATAGAGTCCATTCACATACTGAGAACAACACAAAACTATAATATGAAAATAAAGCAGCCCAAATGCAGAATGGACATTAATACTATTTCCCCAAACCTATTGTTGATCCATGATGTGAACGAGCCATCACTCTGGATAAATTTTTGAGCTATAACGTTGCTACTGTACTTCCACCTGCCTGTCTCCTATGCCACTGGTCCTATAAGAAGTATATTCCCTGTTTTCCTTTCCCACCTGTGAATACTGTTCAGTTATATGGGTCCACCAAAATACCTATCCGATAATAAAGAACATACTGAGATTTGACCTGGGAAGGAATGGCTATCTGCTGCACACTAGCTGAATAGTGTTAGGGAACTATGTTCAGCTTTCCAGTATATGTGTCCTTCTGAAGGCATAGGAAAATAATCCTTTCAAGGATAGTCCAAGGGAAGTACCCAGCTGTTCCAATTCCATAGAGTTAACATAGCCACGGTTTATTTTACCAATTGAGAACTCAGCTGGGTAAGAAACCTCTAATAATGAGGAAGGTCATGGAACATATGTGGGATGCATCTCAGAGAATAACAGTGTGGGATTAATACATTTTTTTCATGGCGATGATTGTCCATATACATTTTACTTGATGAAACTTTCAAGCAGTAACTACAGATAAATACACGCAGTCTGCAAAATAATGACTTAAGAATAGCATTGGCTTTTTTTGTTTGACTGCATCACTGCATAACTTTGAGAAGATAGAAAATGAATCATTTGATTAGGTGAAAATGAAAGAGCATTTTTAGTAAAAAGTCTGAGTAAAGACTTAGTGCCATTACTTTTCTTTATGGAATACTATGTATGAATGCATTTTCAGAAAGGATTAAATCTCCTTTTTTTTACTGAAATAATGACTATTAAAAAGTGGAATTTGATGGGCAGAAGGTGCAAACAGCAAAATGTGAAAGGGAGTAAAAGTATCCCCACCATGGGTGGTGCGGAGTGAAGACAGTGAGTTTTCACACAGAGCTGAGTATTTTAAGCAAGAAGTCGGTGGAGTAAGAAATAGAATTCCTGAATGAGATCACTCTGTTCCACTGAACAGCAAAAAGGAAAGATATTTTGGTGGCAAAGATAAATGGAATGATTTGCCCTCAAAGAGTATGCATCTCCACTGGCCATAAAAGGAGCTTTGCTAACTACTTTAGGCTTAGTTACCAGTGGAACTTCCTGTGGGGACAGACAATTCAAAAAATTAAACAGCAGAACACATCCTGCAAGCCAGCAGCAAGGAATGCTGCTGGGATCTGGTATTAGAAGCTAAAGGCCTATGGATGATCTAGAGATTGGAGGTGCTTTTCTTGTTCCTTCTTTGTGGCAGGCAAATACTGAGTTTTTAGCTCAGCAGAAGACTGAGAAGCCTTTACTCATAGGAAGGCTGGTGTAACTCTTTTGAGGACCAGAAATCATCTGGTTTAATTTCTAACCTCAATTCGCATGACTATTTTGTGTCTGTGTGTTGTTTTATCAACACTGGTCCTTTATTTTCAGCAGCTACTTTTCCACCTTAGATTTCACACCCAGATTCTGAGTTAGAGTATTTTTCTCTTAGACTTCACTTTGCTAGGTTAAACAAGTTCAGTTCCTCTAGTCCCAGCCTGCAAGTTCTTAATTTCTCTTACCATCTTAATATCACTTATTTTCTATATTCCAGGCTGAGCTTGTTTTTCCTAAATAGATATGACACTTTCGAAGGTCACTTCACCAGGACTCATTACAATGGCATTAACAGTCTTAATCTCTTCTGGAAGTTCCTCAACTACTATATTCTAGGATTGCATTTGTTTTTCAAATCCTGTTAGGGATTGTTGTCACCTTGCAATTGAATAATACAACCAATTTTTAATCCATTACTTTTATTTTTACCTGATGAGTTTGTAGCTTTCTGTAGGATTTAACCATATAGTATTGCACTTATCCTTATAAAATCAAATTCCATTTCTAAAGAAAAAGAATACTTCTAGCAGTCTCCTTCTTTTGGTCCCCATCCTCTTCATTTTTCCAATGTAACTGTTGAACCCGATAGCAAATTTGAACCATATTTCACAGATGGTTGTAGTCTTGGAAATAATTAAGCTCCTACAAGTGTCGTAAAACCTGAGGTTGTTGAATTGATGGGAAAGCAAAATTAATGCCTTAGCTAAGGTAAAGACAGGCATATAAACTGCAGGTCATGTTCTGTAGCAAGCAACCAGCCAGCCAGAGGTTATGTTCAAACTATGCTGGCTACTTAGAACTTGAGTAACCTCAGCCTTACTCAGTGGGTGTTTTATGGAGAAGTTGGACAGCAGAAGATTAAGTGACAAAGCACATAATTTTATAAGAAATCAGATCTCATTACTTTTGCTGTTCATGAACTCTTTCCCTGACCTTCAAGTCAGATGAGACGGTTAGGGAGTCTACGGTACAGTTTGTGGGTGCAGGGACTTCCAGATGGTGCCTGTTCACACACAAGTACTCTGCCATGCTTGCTCTGCACCTCACTGTATTCCGTGAACTGCATTCTTCAGTGCTAAACTCTTTATTCATTCCCTTATGTGATATGAACAATTTCTCTTCCTGCTGTCTGCTCACAGTCTGTGTGCTCTATAGTCTGCATGTTTTCAGACATGCATTGACTATAGCAAGTCAGCACTGCAGTTACTGCATTGGTAGGTAAGCCCTGGGTCATTCCCCCCGTTACATTCAAGCTTGTCGTGCTGGATGACAAGAAGTCATGCTTTCTTGCATCAGCTATCACTAAGAAATAAGCTCTTTGGAACTCCCTTTCTGAGCCAGACCAAAGGATATTTAGTACCACCTTTTGCTTTTACGAGATTTGATAGATCAATGCTATTAATACCTCCTGGCACAAGACTATAAATGGGTATCTTAGAAAATTTTGTCTGACCGCTGAAGTGTTACATAAAGTATTCACTTAAAGAATTATGAAAGTGTTCTCTTGGTGACTCAAAATAAGGGTGCAAAAACTTCCAGGCAATAAAGTCATAATGTATTCTCAAAACCAGCTTACTCAGGAACTGAGAGCACCCAAAGATGGCATTTGCATCATGTTTGGCTAATTCTATAAATTAGTAATAGTACATTTATATACTAGTGACTTTTTACTGTAAGTTATTTTCACTATTTTTTTAATGTAAAAGACATTTTATAAAACAGTAAGTAAAATGTTTGCCTGAGCATAGTCGAAGATGAGATCATTTGTTACTGGCACAAAGAAATGGGGAATATGAAGAATTTGCTAACACGGAGAGAAGGGCAATTGGAAATCTTTTTTATAATCTCAAAGCTGCAGCCAGAATGTGTAAGCAATTCTTCTTGTATATTTTTCCTCACATTATTGTAGACAAGGGTGTAGATGATTACTGTTAAAGTAAAACAGTAATACAAGTTTAAAAAAAAAAACAGTTTTAGAGGCTTACATAAAAAAGCCATTCAAGGTGACTAATACCAGCTATTCCTTCTCCTAAATAGCCATAGCTTTTTGTGGACAGTTTGTCAGACAAGTTGAAAATCAGGAGAAAACATAATATTTGTTGATTTCCTTTTATTGTTCATAAGCTTGCTTTTGTTGCAAAATTTACATATTTTGGCATTCACAAACAGAAGTCCAACTGATTTGGTGAAAAGGGCTTAGTTAGAGAAATAAAAAATCCAGTTGTGCTGGCTTTCTTCCATTTTGTGTCAGTACAAATGCACTGTTTAGGTGCCTAGAGTTGCTAGTGAACATTTTTATGCATCTTAAATTCTTTTAGTCCATTGTCAGTTTGTTGTTTTGTGTTTAGGGTTTTTTTTCACTTAGGGGGTTGCGGTTTATAGAAAGGGAAAGTTTCAACTCAAGAGGTAACCTACCTGAGAATGCAAAAAGAGGGAGAGGGCATGATGAATCTGTTGATATCTTTTGTTTAAGCATGATTTTATGGAAAACAGTGTTCAAAACGTAATCCTTTGAAAGCAAATGGCTACTCATTTTTCACTGAGTCTCTGATTTCTGTGCTGTGGTCTGCTACTTACCTCTTGTTTTCTGCACAATTATGAGTTTCAAAAAATGCCAAATGATCTAAAGTGAGGACTTTTAAAGGTTAGACATTGTGCAATACACTGTCTTGGCCCTAAAAATTAAAAACTAGAAAAGACCGTTTTCGAAATGGGACTCAGTGTAAGTAATAAAGAATTATCCAGTGTCTGCGTGGATGTCTGGCAAAGAGACAGTTACTTCAAAAATCTTCAAGGAAAATAAAGCAGGACAATATTTTGGTTAATAAGTTATAGATTAACAATATCTGGACAGTTATTTCTGAACAATGACAATAACAGAGATTCTGCTGTTCTTTTTTAGAAATGGCTTCCAGATGGGAATCATGGTTTACAGTCCAAGACTGAATATGATTTGATAAGTTTTTATCAGTAAAGAGTATAATATTTCATCGTATGAACTTTTTCTAGATGATGCTTCACTCTATTCATAAATGGTTGCTTATTCCCTTTTGTTCATTTCTATTTACTCCTGCCCAGGTCTGCTGAATATTTCTGAGTATAATTTGAAAGAAATGATCAGTGTGGTGTAATAATCAGAACACTGTGACTATGTCCTAATAATACTTGGAGTACAAGGTTAAAAGACTCTGATTTTGAAAGATGTAGTAAATTCATTCACAAGTTTTCTTTGTATCAGCACATCTTTGCATCAGAACAAGATAAAGGTCAGGTTATAAGGGGCTTAACATGGTGCACTGTCTTTTTTTTTTTCCATTTTTCCTGGGTTTGTGATACTTGAGTAGGGAATAATTACATTTTAGGATTTTCCTTTGCAATTCCTTTTTAATTCCTACATTATTCTTCTGCCATTATCTGCAACTCAATTCCCTCTTCATGTATATTTTGTCTGAAATTTCTGTAATTAAAATATGTACACGTAGTAACTTTGAAAGAGAAAGTTTCAGAGAAAGATATTCGGGAGTAGAGTTATTTAAATACACAAATAAATTTTGTATTGTTTTAAAATGCTGGCTTTTACAGTATGAGTCACCAAAGTATTGACTCCATCAGGTACCTTGATTTGTTCATGTACTGGTACAGCCTCTTACACACAGAAAAAATTAATGGCTGATTGTCTTTATTTTTCTGATTGATTCTTCCTTGCAGAAGTAATTTATATTTTGCTTATATTTTCCCATGGAGAAAGAATATCTGTGCATTTTGGTGTTTATATAAAATGCTTTTTGTAGAACTGGTTAAGTATTCTGACCTTAATAGTACAGCAATTCGGTATTCATCGAAGCTACATGATGTCTTTTAAAACTTGCTCATTAGTTACTTGAATTAGTTTTATGGGTGGATTATAATTACAAAGTTAATACAGGTTCTCTACAGCCATCAGAAAGCTACTAAAGCCTTTTAGAGCTTCAGTGTAAATCAGGCATTCTAATTTATATTAAAAAGTTAATGGAACTTCAATACTGATATTTTTCTTCAAAGTAGTAGAGGTTCAATTAAGAGACAACAAAACCAACAGAATATTTATCCAAAATAGTGTGTGCCAAGTGGAATGGACAAAGTGGTAACCCTGCAAATCAGAGCACATACTCTACATTTGGGTTTTCCAGAACCACAAGTCACCTTTGCAATTTAGAAGAGAATTTGACAGTCTGGCTAGTAAAAATAAAATAAATTGAGGATTATTTTTAAATGTAGGAATAAAAAGTGCCAGCTATACTTATTTTTCATATGTTTACCCTCTGGTGCTAGACATTTGAAATAACTTGATATTAAAAGTAATACTGCAGACAGTGTGTCTTGTACTGTGATTGAAAGCAGTGTTTTTAGCTTTCAAACATAAACCCTTCTCAAGTGAATGTTACTGACAAGACCAAATGCTTTTGCTTTCTTAGAGGTTTCTAAAAATTGCCTTTTTTTTCAAGGGGAAAAAGAGAAAGGATCGGGCTGTTTGTTTTGGGGTGGGAGTGTGAAAGGGAGATTGTTTTAAAATTAGAAATAGAATGACATAAGTAGTCTCCATTTATGCCTTTCTTTTTCTAGAGGAAAAATGAGAGGTATTGGTGGAAAGTATTTTGGAGTGCAACATTTCAATACTAATTGGGAAAGAGAGTTTTGCTGTTTCATGAAGACCGATTCTCACACTAGGTACTAATACAAACATGCAAAAGACACTACATAGTTAAAGAGAATTTAAAATCTCTTTCAGGCATTCAGCCTTCCAGTTATTACTGTATTAGACCCATTTCACTACTTGAGCAATCACCAATAGCAAATCCGGTTAATTACTGCACAGTTTTTATGAAAAGTAACATTAAAAAAAATATCCAAGTGTTCCCCCCCCCCAGTTATATAATCAGAAAGAGAGCCAAGACTGACGTCAGGGCATTTTCTCTTCTTTGTAGGTCATTTTAAGGCAGGAATTCAAGCACCTTGGAGCAATCACTGGTTTTGAAGAGACTGCTTCTATCATTTATGGTGGTACAGTAATATTATATGGGAAAATGTGAAATTGTGAGAGGAGCAAAGATCAGAATAAAGCCAAATCACTACAGGGTCTGAGCAGCAACTGGCTGTAAAATCAATACGAAGCAAGAGCTGGATATTGCAAAGTTGAGCATTAATCCAGTGCCTGGCAGAAAAATAATTTATTTATCTTTTTGTTTCTTAGTGATTGTACAAACTGTACAAGGAACAAACTATGAAACACAACAAAATAAAAAAAGCAACTCTCCTTTAAATCCATAGAATATATTTGATGATCCTGACATTTTCACTCAACTTGGATGAAAAGTAGGTCCTGCGTGGATGAGAATAGGGATTATAGTTCAATTCCAAATTGTTTTACAGTAGAAATTCGAATGGAGGCAGAATATTGCCTTTTTATCAAAATAATTTTTAGTGAGAGAAGCAGAAACACGTGTTACATATACATGTCTTCTTGCATAGTGTACATTCTGATACAGTTAATTCAGCCAATTTTCTGGTATTATTCTCAAGATCTGTGCCATGGATATTATAGTCCTCCATATGGGTACATTTTTCCTCTGATTTTTTCCATTTCTTCCTCTGGTAATAACTGTATAAAATCAAGCATTTTAGTTAAAATTTAGAATCACTAAGGCTGTTCTACAGGATCTGAAGCTCTCCCACATTTTGGTAGTTAGTTATTTTATTGTGGAAGGAGTTGCATCTAGCTGTTACAACTTCATTTATTTTTTAGCTCAAGCAGAGATGGAGATTAAAACTATCTGTCTATTCTTTTTGCATCCAATTTATTCATAAACGAATATTTCAGTTTGTTACAAGAGCTGTGGATTTCCAGCAAGCCTTCAACTCATAATGTAAAATTTGGGGGATGAAGCAGTCCATTGTTTCAAAACGCATGCCCATGTGCTTTGTTTAGATTTGGGAAGAATAACACTGAATAGTTTGAATGCAATCCTTCCTGGAATATCAAGTTAGTACCTATAGCTTTGGTATTTAAAAGGTTGCTGATTAGTCTTACTAGGTAGTTCAAAATAATTTCTCAAGAGATAGAAGGGAATTCTGCCCCTACTGGAAAATCATCCATGGCAAGACTTTACTGTCTATTCCATTGTCATAAACATATTTGTCATCGATTTCCATGGGAGGAAAAATTCAGTCAACATCAACAATACAGTGAGGCAGCAGAACAGTTAAACATAATTTTTACCAGACTCTTTCAAGAAATCTAGTACCTCTGACATTCTAAAACATTGTTTAGTTACATTAGTGACATTGTTCTGCTCAGGTTTCAGGTTTTTCAATGTTTGTGATTTGTGCTGTCTTTGTATGCCAGAGATTGGAAGCAATTAGATTTACGATTCTGAAGAAATCTACTATTAATTAGCAGTTTGCTACTGCTGTCAAATAAACATAAGCATATTTAAGCATGCTAAGCTCAAAATGAGATGCTTTAGTGATTCAGATATAATGGTATTTTATTCTTTTGATATTTGGCTCAGTAACACCACTAAATTTGAGGCAGTGACATTTAAGAGTTAATAGAAGTTTTGTGACGTTAAAATGAGTAAGTGCAGAATAAGATTCAGGGATCAGAATCTGCAAGTTTTTATGCAAGCAGTCCTTTGCCTCTCCTTCTAGATACACTATACTGCACAGTAAGTACGATGTAGAAATTGGTGCCAAAGCTGGCTCATGGGCTGGAAGCAGGCTAGCCTGTTTGTGCAACGCTTTGCCAAAGCTAATTTACTTTGCTAAAAACCAGGGTAAATTAGACAGTGTGCAGCATTAAGCAATGTGGTTAAACTGCTTCCAGTTACCCAGGCTGGCTCCTTCTGAGCTGCTTTGGCTGTCTCTCCACAGCACTGTGTTGTGCAGCACAGACATGCCCTGACTAAAATTGATGTGTGTGAAATTTTATTCATGTAAGGAAGGATTGACGAATTGTACCCATCCTTTCTTCTCCAGAAATTCTGTCCTCAGATACATGCAGAGTGTACAACTGAGAATGTCTTCAAATAACTACAGTGTAACTGTCATTGCATTTGACCTCAGAAATGTGATTGTCTGAGTAAACACAGAAAATGGAGGCACCGCAACTGATTATAATTAAATATAAGTGGTTAAGCACAGATCTGTGGTATAAATAGATGTGTTATGGCTGACAGTTAAAGTTTGAGTTCAGCTTACGTGTGAGGCTTTGCATTACTCATGTAAATCAATGTTCTCACTTACAAGAGAAACCTCATAATTTACCACCACCCATAAAGTATCCTTGCTGTAATCAATAGTGATTCCTATATGGAATTACTGTGCAGAGCAACCTTTCTTCCATCCATATCCTCAGCATGATTGCTGTATGGTTTGGCGCCATGACAGAAAAATATCTAGTGAGCTCAGTAGTTTTCTGCGTGGAAGGACTTAACTGTCCTAATTTGGTACAAAAATTCCATTCAGTTTAAAGTAAGCAAAACTGGAATTAAATACTCCACATGGTGAAGGATTGAGTAGAATCTTCAGTGGGGAGTGTTTGCAATCTCACTGCATTGAGACTTGACAATTAAAGACTTGACAATTAAATACAGCTTAACTTTATTCTATGTAGAAGTAGGGTACTGTAGTTAAAAATACGTGGTGTTATCTGCCACACTGGTAACATTAAAGGATTATCTGGTGATTTTTTCGTCTCCACTTTTGGTGATAATTACATATGCTGCACTTGAGACAGAGAGCAAACCATGTTCAAATTAACCCCAAAACATTTTACTGCTTTCTGATTATTTGAGCACACCATGATGTACATCCAGCTGTGCTGTGCTCAGCTCTTTAGTCAGCCAAACAGAAATGATGAGCACAGGGGTGTTTCTTATCCTCACCAGTCCTCTTAGGAGCCCAGGGGTGCCCATGTGGGTGCAGGGCTCTAAGGTGCTTTCCTAGGACATTTCATGGAGCCACAGTCCCTGCCTGAGGAGACGATTGTCTTCTGTAAAAGAGGCTGAAGCTTAAAACGGTAAGGCAGTGACACTGAAGCATGCAGAAACCCAAGTCCTTTGTAACTCACCACTTCACTAGACAACTCCACACATTCATGGGCAATCATCAAGTAGCCAAGAGCCCAGCACATGAGCGAGTTCCCTCCTGGAAGCAGCCAGTGGTGTCAGTAAGTGGTAGGTGTGCTCAGAGTGCCTGGATTGAAATGAACCACTTAGGGAACTGAGCGCAGAGTTGTCTTTTAGTGGGGTTAAAAGAAGCTGTAGCTAGAAGTTCCGAGTTTGGTGTACTCATAGAAACCTGAGCTTTGGCACTTAGGAGACAGGACTATAACAATGAAGCCAAGTGAACTCAGATTTAATAGTCAATAAAGCAGAGGTTTTCTGAATTGCTTTGTGGATTTGGATTGCCTGAATTTCACTTTTGGTGCCTTGTGTGCATCCTGAGCGTATAGCTCTGTGTTCCAAGAAAAACATAGGCTACATCTCAAATAAACAAAATTTAGAGAACAACTGGTTTTCCATTTTAGTATGTGTGATTACTAAAGTAAAAAAATTCCTGTAATTTTCTAGTCACCTACGTAACCAACACCTCAGGAGCATACCTCTTCTAGTCACATGAAACAGATACTTCCAAATGTAATGTTTTATAAAGCTGTGATTAACTGATAGAGGAATAGAAGAGTTTTCTAATAAAATATGCTAAACATGCTAAATAGCACTTCTAAAAAGGAAATCATAATTCTCTTGGCATTGGATTACAGCATCAAGGAGTGACAAAGTATATTTAAACTGACAAAGCTATTTATATTACAGATATCTGTGAAATTATGTGCTTTCCTGTTCTCATTGTTCCATTTCTCATATGAAAGCTAATTATTTTTCTTTGCCCATCTTGATACAAGGATAGCTGTGTATTTATTTTTAATGAAATTTGTGATTTATAAAATACACATTACACAAACCATCATGTTTTATTCTGAGAGTTAGCAGAAAAGTGACTCTTCACTCCAAAAAGTACCTTCCCATAAAGTTTGTCTGAAGTGTCTTTTTTAACTTTTACCAACAGAACAGTGTAGTATTTTTAAACTGTTACCATTTTGCTGTACTGCTAAGCCTATGTTTCCTATGTTAAGACTATGAGAAAATACACAGAGGCTACTGAATCCCTAATGATCGCTTTAAATCTGGTCAGTAAAAACTTACATGTACTCGCAATATTGATTTATTATGGGGTTCTTCAGTGCCTTTGCCTAGTGATACAATAATATCTCCATTTTGAAAGATAAAAAAAGGCAAGACAGATGAACGACAGATAAGTGCTAAATAGTCATTTTACTAATTCTCAGTTTAGTGCAAGTATCTTAAACTCAGCAGTTGTTCACAAATGCTGCATTTGTATTTAGCTAGCAGTTTGCTGTTCTTATTTTAGGTACGAGGAAGGACAAGTTTAAGAAGGACAGTCCCGTTCAAGCTGTTCTCCAGCCATGTAAATTGAGCTCATGAAGATTTATCTTTAATTCCTGCCTCCGCTTTTCTTAACTGCCTCATTGAGATGCACGGTGCCTGATTTCTCAGTATTCATTGCACAGCAGTGCTTACAGTCACAGCACAGATCCCGCTGCCTACAGCTTGCAGTTGCAAGTGCTCAGCACTTCTACAAATTACCCTCCACCGTACCCAGCACCAAGAAAAACACAATTAACAACCACATGTGCAAAGTGACTAGTATCACACAGAAAATCTGGGGCAGAAGCAGGGATACAATTCAGTTCCCCAGGGCTGCACTCATGCCTTAATCATGAAAACATGTTCTCTTCTCTAGAGTTGTCTGCTTCATTCACTACGTACTTCCAACGGCTACAACAAAGAAAGTACAGACTCCACAGAGCACGCTCGCTTTTACTACACAATGATTCATCCTCCAGCGTAGGTCTGTTCTATGCGCTACATAACACAGAAGACCCACAGAAAACTCTCTCGGCTCTCAAAGGAATCACATGCAGTTCCCTCTCCCTCACCACTCACATAATCCACCAGTCCTTGTCCCTTTATCTGCCTCTTCTGCCACCAAGAGAGCTGGGTGCTCAGGAGTGACAGGATTCCTGATCCAATTCCTACGCTTAGTCAGGCCCCAGATTGTAGCAGCAATAAGTGGCAGGATCAGGGAGGACTGTTTTGAACGCCAGTAGCCCCAGGGCTGGAGCATGCCCAGATGTTTTGTGGAATGGCTCCAGCAGGCCAGTCGCGCACACAGGTGTTTATTGGCTTGAACTGAAAATCAGGAATACCAAGAATAATTCATCCACCACTTGGCTCTTCAAACACAACAGGAACGAGCACAATGTGCAAATCTAAATGGCAGATAACAGCAACTATTATCTAACAAGCATGCCTTACTCGTGGAGCTGCTTGTGTGATGAACTTTTTCTTTTCCTAGACTGAATTCATTTTAGTATGAAAACTAATTATACAGAAAGTATTGGTAAAGGTATGCAGCTGAGCAACCTCACAACTCAATTTTTCACTAATATCTATGATTTTAGCCACAAAAGATGCTGCTGCTAACTGCAGGAAGCACAAATCTACTTCTTAGAAATGTGATTTGTGGTTTACTTTCTGTTTACACTTAAAAAGCGACTTAAAAGCAAACCACATATAACTGGATCAAAAGTAGCATTGTGTGCTTACATTAAATATATTCATTTTCACACCAGAATTACCTAAGGAACAAGACTTGCTGTACGTGGAAAATCAAAGGAGAAATATAAGAAACTGTTCCAAAGAGGTTTGCTGCTCTGCACAGCAAAAGCTCTGCACAGTCCCTCTGTGACCTAGACTCCGCACAATTTATTGGTTATCTTTAATAAAGCGAAATCCAAGCACCTCTTCTGTTTTGTTACTTCCATTTTAACACTAGTGGTAGCAGACAGACAAAAGTTTAGTTTTAGCCTGGGAGCTAAAAGAAATACTTCTAACATACATATGTACTGCTACAGTCTGACTTATAAATGCTCAGTAGTAAAGTCAGCAGGAATCAAGCACTAAAACTGGAGAAGGGTAAATGGAAAGAGACCCTGCTGTATTTGCAGACTTGTGGTAATACAGAAAGCACTCCTGACTGCTCTTGGAAACTTGTCGTGTAAGTGAGCAAGGGGAGAGAGGTCAGGCAGTGACAGACTGCACTTCCAGCCTGAAACGGGGGCTTGCACTGAATCTAAAAAACTGAAAACAGTCCGAAACATGCATTTAACTAAAAATGAATGTTATTAAAACAAATTATACCCATCATTTAGAAATGTAATCTCAAAGTACCGTAGCTCCTGGCTTCCACTCAGATGATGTCTGGCAATGTGCTGTGTATCATCCACAAAGTATCTTCCAGAATCCCCAGCACCCTGGCTTTGGGGACCGCTCTAAATCTCCCTAAATTCTGATGGTTCTGATGTCATTTTCTAAGCTTAAAGTGTTCTTTCAAGTGACATCAATCATGACTCAACCTGGTCTCTCCTGCCATATGTGACAAAGGCTCCTATTTTTAAACTTTCAGACAAATACAGCCTGTATAACTTTTTTTTTTTTTTTTTTGCCAAAAATACGTCAGTTCAAATCTCACTGTTCCGAGCATACTCTGTTCTTTCGGGATACTTGTCAGCTGGCCTATTTATATCAGGTTTGTAAGAAATTAGATGTTTTTCTAGAAGTAAAATAACAGACTTGAAGAACAGAGCTTCCACCTTGCGTTATTAATAGAATTCATGATAATCTGTGGTTATATTGTCATGAAGTACAGAAACGAATTGCACAGAGCCAACAATTCACTCAGCCTGGTGGTTAAAATGGATAAAGGGATAAAAATGATTTGTATTAGTGCCTGCAGTCTCTTGTAAATGTCAAATACTTTCTTGACATTCTAAAACCCAGGCTGTACAGCAGAAGTGGGAGAGTAGCATTTTGTATTAATTTAAAAATGCATAAAACTGATTATCCTTTTCTAGCACTCAGTATTTCACTGTTTCATGAAGACCCTAGATGCTGCTCATAACTGGCTGTGCTCTTTCAACTCATCATGTGTCTCATTTTTCTTTCAGCAGAGCAGTGAATGTTTTACTTATAAATAAATAAAATTTTACTTCCTCTGGAAGAAGATATTTAAGAGATTCCCCCCAACCAGTTTTCCCACTTGGAGAAAGTTGTGAGTATTCATCTCTCCCATTTCCCATGCATGGCACTCCTACCATTCCTATAAATGAGCTGTGTAAATCCCAGTCACCTGCATGTATCTTCCTGTATTTCGGTACTGTTAGTTCAGTTTCTACTGCTCACTTTAATCACCTCACGGGGTTCAAAGAACACCTGGATGTATTCTCATTCTCACAGAATGTTCTAGTATAAAGGATTTATGACATTCCCTTGGTTCACCCCATTCGTGTACTTACTGTACATCTGTTAGACTCTTTTTACTCTGCTATAGTAGAGTGATGCAAAGGTGTAATTGAACCGACAAAAGTGTTAATATTTTTCTAAAACACATCACTTATATTTAGCACAACCGACATTTTACTCATTGTTCTCTTTGCACCCACATTTATTCCGAAAGAATTGTGAAATGAAATCATCAAAAAGCTACCAGCTGCACAAGTCTTCTGAAAACCTCTGTCGTCTGAGTCTGCCTTGAACATTACAAAAACATGCAAAAAGGCTTAGAGATAGTTTCAAAAGAAAAGACTAGAAAAGGAATATCCAGGTGGCTTTTTAACTGTAGGGTACAATAAAATAGTTTGGAAAGTATTACACAGAAATATAATAGTGAAAAAAACAAGATATGCAGTTTACAAGTAGAAATACACAGTGCTTTGCCTTTGCTCGAGCCGAAATCAGTAAAGCAGACGGAGCTCTCTTTATATGGGTTTACTAACTGCTCGACAGCTCCAAGTTTACAGATGTGTGACTGGCAGCTTACAGGCATGCTGATCAACAGTAGAAAACCTTTTAAGGCTTAAGGTTAATTAAGGTTAATTATTCTGAAACACTGTTAGAGATTTCAGTAATAATTGCCTGACGTGACAGAGATGAATTGCTGCCTCCATTTTGAGAGCGCTTGGGAAATTACTTAGAAGTGTGTGAGAAGCTTATCAGGGAGACATTGCGGGTATAAAAGAAATGAAACCCTGGGTGAACAGCTAAGCAGCAAAGGGCAGGCCAGTCTAACACAATCCTACAATTTGCATTGAATAATTTAGACAAAGAGTCAATAGATTTATCAGCAGCACATATTTACTACCACAGTAGCTTGACACAACTTAGGTGAATTTGCATTGAAATTCACTCCCAGATACCAATCCAAAGAAAATAGCCAGAGAGCTCTTACATGTTTGATTACTCGCTGAAGTATTTATCATCTCTGCTGATTGCATCTTATTTCAAAGCCAGACCCAGATCCCAGAGAAGTCATCAGCTTAGTTCCTGGGTAAGAGCTGGCAACCCTATCGTGATTGAAGTCAAAGGGACCACACATGAAACAAGGCACTAAAGCTCAACAGTAAAAGTCAGCAATACCTGGCATTAGATTACAAGGTCTTCAGAGCAAAGGCATTCCTAATTTCCCAGGCACAGAAAGACAAGAGGTAGAACTCTGACATTGTTAAAATAGAAATGAAACTTTTCTAACTTCATTAGCACCGCATTTTTATCCACTGGCATCTTATCTGCGCCACCTGCTTAATGGCATGAACAATCGTATGCTGTTTAAGTGGTACAGATGAAAGTCATTTGAGGCTAGCTCTAGGAGGAGTTCCTACTATCACTCATTTAGGGGTTGAAGTGGTGTCAAGCTATCTGCTGCTATTTCATACTTGTCCCATACACATAATACAGAAAGCAACAGCAGCAGCCGTTAGGTACTAATAGTAAAGCAATCCAGACTAAGCACTTTCCAACAGCAAAAAATGAGGCAATTTACCAGGAAGAGAGGGAGTTGCATTAGCATGAAAAAACTTCTAAGTTATTCACAAGACGCTAAAAGAGAAGGAAGAATCATCAATCCTGAACACTGGAACCATGAGGATCCATAAGGATTTTACATGATGCTAGTGAGGCCAAGCCAAGTAATCACTGCCATAAGTGGAGCTGTGCAGGGAGCAGAGCAGTAGCATTGCCTCCCTGCAACAGACCCTCAGATTTAGAGTCTGGCCTCTTAGGTTTTCCACTTAGACTTTGTGACAGACAAGTTACTGTAGCTGGGAGCAACCCAGGAGTTCCTGAAGAAAATCTGAGCAGAAGTGGCTCACTGAAGGTACTTCTCAAGGTAAGTAACACCAGTACAGTCTCAAGGACAGGAACACCAAGTGCATAAATGCATCACATTTTGCCAGTGGTAGCAAAGTTAGTAACAGCCACCACCATCCCTCTGGTACAAAGTAGGTGAACATGAAGAAGACGCAGGATTAAAAATGCACCCACCTCATCAGTGATTCACAAACACTTCAACCTGTTTCCGGACTTGATGGACTTGAACAGTCTCTAAGAGTGGGCAGGATTTGATGCCACTTTTCAGAAAATGACTTGTGGAGACCATGAAGCCAAGACCTATGTTCAGACCATGACACGGTGAAGAGAAACCATGCACGTCTGCCACAATGGAGCTAAGAACTGCATGTTGGGAGTGCTTTGCCTGCCATGGAGGGTAACTCAGCCGCTCCCTACTGAATGCTTACAATGAAGGGCACAGGGACAGAGACTGCTCCTTCTCATAGTTAAGAGGGAATAAACGACACCTTGCTGCTTAAATCATTCTCCCATGCTGTTTTCACCCATAGGTTGCTCACTTTTGCGCTGGGCTCGCAGACTTCCCAGTTGTTCAGAGGCTGGCAGTGCCCCAGCTTCTCCCTTCCAGCAGTTCCTGGCCAGCCTCTCCTTTTTGCTCCACACTGGTCCCTGACATGGAGAGGCTTTTTGAGAAGACTGGTTCGGAAGAAAGGAAACAAGATTAAACAGAACAGGTCCCTTGAGAACAGCTGCATAAATTCTGTCTTTATTTGCTTGGTCTGGAGGCTTTGGAAGATAGGAACTCCACATCTTTTACAATTACAGTTATATAAAGAATAAAGGCTTTAATCACAGCAACTCTTGCTTTCAAGCTGGCAGCAGGGATGCCAAAAGAAAACTAGAAGAATTTGCCATCAATGTTTGATAATCAGAAGTGTCACATAAACTTCTGAAAATTAAAAATGGAATAATAAAGCTTCCTTTTCTACAAAGTTGCTGTATAACCTCATCAGAAATAGCATTTCTCACTTCAAATACTGTGGTGTTACCTATGGCAGTCTCTACCATGGCAAAGGAGTGGCACCTCCTGCTTTGCTTGGAACAGCTTCCCTGCAGCTCCCTTGCCATGCCACAGCATCCCTCGAGCCCATGCGGCTGGCTGCAGTCATGGAGAGTGTAGTTTCAGAAGCGGGGTACATGCGTAGTTGGACTTTTGAAGGGAAAATAGAATTTGATACTTCAGTTCCCACAGGATACCACCACAGAGACTATTTTCTGTAAAATGAAACCGGCGGAGTGGTGTTTTACACCACAGTATCGCATAAAAGGCAAGACAGTTGGCCCAGTGATACTCCTACACAGACAAGTTCCTGTGTCTCCTGACAGGTTCACATTGCTTTATCTGGCAAGCATAAAATTTAAGTCTATGTACAAAGCAGCCTTTTCATTTAGGGAACAATTAAGCTAATCCCAGCAAGACTTCATGTTTAACTAGGTCTGCAGTGAACAAGCTTGCCGTCTGCATTCAATCAAGCTCTTCTGACTTTCACAAAATAGAGGCTAAACCGCGTATTTGAGATGTAAAATTCTAAGATTCCTGCGATCTGCGAGAGTCCTGCCAGCCCTGAACCACGCATCTATTTGCTAAAACTTTGTTATTGTATCAGCAGACTTCTACAGTCTGTCATTAAGCTTCCAATTAAGCAGTAAACATTGGTTTTACAAGCCTGCTTTTTTCATTAAAAGGGTATACACCGCAACACTTGGTAAATACATAAACATATATGCATATGCACACATGCACAATAAAACAAAGTTGCTATTGGCAGAAAGGTAACATCAGCTGCAGCCGTAACAAGATGCAGACTCAGCCTTCAAAGTCTCACCTATTCAAAAGTGCGGTCAGAGCCTGTGCTTTGTTCAGTTTGGTTTGAGCTGGGGCTGGATCCAGCTGGGGGCAATGATGATTTGAATTCAATGAAGTCAAGAGAAGACAATAATTCAGATTCGGTTCTGGTTTTTGACAAAACAATGGTTCAAATCAATCTTTGGTTTTGGTTCTACTTCCTGCTTAACAGCTGTGTAAAGAAAAACATCTGGAATAATACCCTAGCAGGGCCAATAACCAAAGCTGCTTTTTCATACTATCCAGATAGCACCAATAATAACAAAGCTTTTAGGTCAGTTTTCAACAACAGAAAAACCAACCAGACTCCTTTTTTTGCCTTACTATCAATAGTAGCCAGAACTGCAAATGGAACATTAAACATGCTGCCTCCATCTGCACCAGTCACTAAAACGGGCCAAGGCCTGTTGTTCTTGCTCTGACAGAGAGGTAAAGCACAGCTCATACAGACACAGCTAAATTCCTTCCTGCAGTCAAACTGGCCTCAGTGCTCCTAGGACCAACCTCTTGCTACCCCTCAGCTGTGCCTGGACCCAGCAAGGGCTGAAGCCTGGCCAGCAAGCCCCTGAAGCATTTCATCCTCTTGTGATACGCTGAATGCCAGACCTAACTACCCTACTGTGCCAGCACAGCCTCCGGTGCCAGCTGGTAACGGGAGTTGTGCTCACTGGATCTGTTTACACCTTCTTGCTGGTCTGCGCTGCTCTGTGATATCTCTGACTTTTTCATGAGCTTCTTTGAATCTGGGACTACATCTTTGTTCCGTGTTCATAAGGTGCCTAACATAGGCCAGTCTGTACTTGGGAGTATGGCTCCAGAAGCTGCATCGAAGTAGGTTTTATGGGGAAGCATAACCCATACATGGGTATGCAAAGATCTCAGAGAATACAATGTGAAAGGGCCTGCATGCATTATGGAGTGGTCTCAACACATGCTTCCATCTCTGCAGTTGCTCCATCATAAATGTGCACCTTGCTCATGAAACATGACTACTCCCACCACTTGGAAGACTAGAGGATTTCAAGGAATCGTTGCTTAAATCTAGGAAAGGGAGGGGACACACCACGAGGTGTCCAAGGTCACACAGAAAACAAGAGGAACTGCTCCCAGATGGCATTTTCGTAAACAAGAGCCCCTGAAGCCAACACTGGTGGCATGAAATTTAAAATTGCTCCTGATCTTTCATACCACAGGGATCTCTCAGAGCAGTTCTGTTTTCATGGGACAAAACACTGTTCACGTGATTCTCCATCTTGATCAAGCGCTAGCTCTTCACCTCTTTTCCGGAAACACATCACCTCAAGAATCTGTTGGGAAGGAAGTAAAAAATGTCCTTTTATCAGATTTTTAGTGTCATTATCCCTTTCTACCCTTTGTATGACTGAGATTACTAAACTAAAGCTCTATGAGAGCCAAGAGACAAAGCCAGAATGAGATTGCCAGTGATTAAATAGAGTTTGTTAAGTTCATGTTAAAGCTGTGATCACTGCGCTAACAAAAGCAGAAGAAAGTAAAGCAAGAGCTCTGCCAACATCACCAGGATGTGGAGTACTCCTTCTGGGTACTACATTTCAGCTCTCCATAATGCCAACGATTTTTGCTTTGCTAACCAATAAAGATTTACTGGCTCTTATTTATATTTACCAAGGAGGGAACAGAAACCACAGAACATTCACAGCCAACTTGCCAACCTCCTTGTTCAGTGACTTACAAAAACAAAGATGCATTTCTAGGGTAGCACTAGCATTTGTAACATTCTCAGTCCTTCTCTGCCATACCCACAGACCTTTAGAACATGTACCAAATCCCTTAAAACTAAGCTTCCATGAGCCTGTGTATAATCCTACAGAATCTAAATTTCACTTGAGGAAAATTACAGCATGCCTTCATTTTCTAGTGTATTCAAGTCATGACTATTAATATGGCTATTGAAAAGAAACAGATCTAATTACAAAAGACATTGTGACCTACTTTTCTCTCTTTATTTCTTATCAAGAAGCTTTCAAACATTTTTTTTTGGTGCCATTTGAACCCTTTTAGAAATCTTGAAGATGTTTCCCTCCATTCATACACTGAAATCTGTAGCTGGCAGTTCTGTGCATTAAGTCTTTAAAAATCTTTTGAACAGACATACGTGTACAACTGAAATAGAAGCAAAACAAAGTCTCAGTAATCGTAAGGATTTACCCTCTTTGTTAAAACGTTGGATGTCAGTTACACAAAATACCATAGCATTTTATTATAGAGATGTAAAATCATTCCATACAGTCTTCCAAATATCCAACTTGTATTTCAGACACAGATACCAAGAGGGAAAAAATCTCCAGCTGTCTAGAACTCCAAATTCTCTCATTTGTACTGTCATTTAACATAAGACAAAATTTAAGACCAGACTTTAACTGTTTCCAAATGTTTTTGTGCATGTTCCTGCTGAAATCTTTAACCATTATCTAGCACCAGAATTCTTAAACAAGAACTACATTCACTGTCCTCCTTTAATTTAGTGTTCAGACATTTTCCTGTTGAATGCTTCGTATCATACATTAATCATGCTAATAGATGATAAATACTTAATGACTTTGAGAGCAAAAGGTTCTTGGGCAAATTGCAAATACAAATGATTTTAAGCTCTGATGCACAGAAAACTCTTAATCCTGTGGGGAAATGACTGTAGGTACTGCAATAAAAAAACAGATTTAGATTATAACTTTAAATCTCTGAAGAAGCTGTTCATCCTTTGAAACAATCTAACAAAAAGTAAATATGAGCTTTACTGAGGAAAAATTCTCCACACACAGTAGAAACCAGACCTAAGTACATGTGGGAAATGCAGAATACTGCACTGAAACAAAACAGAGAGGGCTTAAAAGTCTCCTCTCTAATCCTAGTATGTGTTAGGCCTTTTTCTTTTTTCTAGAAAAGACATAAAACACTGCAAAAAGTGACTTAGTTTAAGCATTACTTTCACTGAGTCTTACAAATGAACACAACCTCCTGTGGGACATGCAGTGGCCTAGGAGCATACGTGTCCAATGAAGCACTCCGAGTCGGTAACTTAGATAGCACTCTAAGCACTGACCCGCTGACTTAAGCTTTCTGTCTCAGAAAGAAAATGGTTTATTTTGGTGTGGGCTGCAGGAAAGGGTAAACATCCTTTCTGAAGGAGAATATGGCAATGAAAAGTAAAACTTAAGTATTTTAGTCCCCGTTTCAGGTTGCTTTATTTTCCCATTTAAAGATCATTGGAGCACAACTGTTAATAAACCTATGAAATAACTTACTACTTGGGCATTTCACCTTTTCAAGTCATTATGCCTGTACGTTATGGTGCAATTTACAATAAAGAAAAAACACCTTCAGTGATAAAACAATAATTTATTGTTTTGCATAAGAAGGTAAGATCAGATTTCAGGTAAGACTTCAACCAAGAACCTGGTGGCAAATTCAAGTATAGAGCTTGGTACAATATTAAAAAATGCTACCATTTGTTGGACTATGACAAACAGCTAGAACAATAAAAACATCTGGACTTGACTGTCAAAACATACAGTTCTCTAAAAACCCACACAGCACAACTTGAATATGTGGAATATTGGAAACATGTTTAGTTGTCTTCATTCCCAAATTCTTAGGAGTCAAAGGAACAATCCCGCCCCCTCTTGGTATCCCAGAACAGTTCAGCACATGGGCTCAGCATCCATCACGATAAGCAGGCTCCTGTCCTTTTGAAACTGTCGGGCTAAGACATTTTTTGTGCCTTGGCTGGTCCCATCTTTGCCTGCCTCACGGAAAGCAGTAGCTTTGATAATTATTTATTTTTAAGCTAATACTGCAATAATGTTGATTTTCAAGAGCCATCTAGTAATTTAATTAAAATTATTTCTCACTCGTTGAAGTCCCTGTGCACATTTTACTCGGTTGGTTGGGTTTATGTTTTTGTGATTCCCTTTCTTTTGCAGGTGTTGGGAATTTAGCTCCTGGCTTGAAGATGAGGAAGGCAGCCATCCGTCTAGGAAACCCCTGCCAGGACTGTGCTGAGGATCAGAGGGTCAGTGTCTCTGTGAACGCAGCAAAGCACCGTGCTGCTTACTGCTGCCCAGCACAGCAAACCTGTGTAGATCACAGAACCACAGCACGGTTTAGACTGGAAGGGACCTTAAAGATCATCCAGTTACAAACCCCCTGCTGGGGGCAACGACACCTTCCACTAGACCAGGTTGCTCAAAGCCCCATCCAACCTGGCTGAGTCCTCTTAGACCACACTGACCCAGGAATAGGAATTATATTTAATTTCAAAAGGACAAGAAAAACAGCCTGCAGGACAGCCAGATCTGTCTCTACCAGGCAGTTTGCAGATTATTCTAGCATCTATTTCTTAAAGAGAAAAGCAGGTCTTTCATGTGATCATTATCATAGGCTAATGTTCTGAGACAGCCCAGGTTGGAAGCAGCATTAAGAGCGTTTCAATAAGGACTAAAGCCTCTCTTGTTGGAAATGGCCAGATCCTGAGACATGCTGAGTGCCCTCTCAGTTTGTGTTGCAAGAGGTGGCGAAGGCACTCGGCATCTTGCAGGCAAACAGACTGGCTGAATTCCAGATCCCCTGAAAAACGGTTTGATTTTCAATAATAATAAAAAAAAAACAGAAAAAGTTTTCTCAACTTGCATAATCTCCATGCAATTAATTTAATCATCAAAATGCTATTTATGCTACAAAAAAAAGTTTAAGTCCACCAGGAAAATGGTGAAATTTGACAAAAGTTACATTATAGCTGTTGAAGCAGAGCGTGTATCCGTGCTGGGATTCAGTACATCTGTAACTCTTGCATAAACATTTCCAGACTCCTAGGAATTTTGCTGTTGTTGCTTGCATTTCATTTGTTTCACACAACTCTGAGCCTAATGCGATGACCCACACATTAAATACACATTTAGAATAAAACTGCAAAATCTGATGGCTATATCAACATATGAACTGAAATAAAATATTTACATGGAATGTTGAGCTCCATTTACAGAGACAGTGTTTCAAATTATGGACTTAATAATTCTCTTTAATAAATGATCACATTGACAAGAAATTTAAAAACTTAACATCCCTTTTCAACCCTTTCATAAATATATATAGTTTCACTAAATTCTTTATTCTTTAAACAAGACAGCTATATTCTCTTTACAGATTAACATGAAATGACGGTTTCCTGTTTGAATGCCACAGATGGGATGAACAGAAGTCAGCAAGTTCCTATACACATTCTGTACTTACAAGACATATTCACAACAGAACACACAGGTGTAACTTGGGTCTTTAGAGGTGTACTCGTTTCCTGCGCATCAGTAGTAAATAAAGAAAAATACCAAATTATCTATGTTAAAAATACATCATCTAATATACATTTGCTTACATTGCCACATTAAATTGTAAAATGAGGTTTCCAACTGTGCCTGACCAGTGACAAGGGTATTTTTTACAGTGAAGTCTACAGCATTAATTTATTTGAGTGGAGACAAAATATCTGTTATACTACTAAAAAGTAGCACTAGATATTAAACAACAAAAAGAATTAATCTCTTGCGACTAATTCCCAGATTTCCAAGGTTTCCTCACTAATTGTTTGAAAATTTCTGACGGGAAGGTTGTTCTAAAGGATGCCAAAAATATTTGAAATCAATTTAAAGGGGAAAAAAAAGAAAGATAATCTTTACTTTCTTGCTATGCATATTGTTTTGCCGCTGATTTTACAGAAGATTAATCCCAAAGACTCTGAAGTTATATACATAGTGACTCCTATTTTTCCTTATTTAAATAAATATTGCAATGAGTTTCCTTTGTTGTGCTACAAAGCACGCGTGAACGTATTTTCAACCCATGCATGCTCACAGCAGAGTATTTCACAATTAAGCCACCAAATACATCTTTCTTTCCATGACTGTGTAAGTGCAAAGGAATACTAAAATCATTCTGTACATGTAAGACAAGATTCACATCTAGAAAAGTAAACCACTTATCTTGATATGTAATTAAAACTATGATGTCTTCCTCATAAAAATGTTGGTCACTATTTCAGTTCTCTCAAGCACTTAAGGGGTAATAACTTCCAAGTGCTCTTTATGGGAGCATTTATGCTTAAAACCATCAAAGTGCTGCTCTCCAGTATTCACTAGTATCTTCTGCAAACTCTCCATTAAAAAAAAAAACTTAAAACTTACCTTGGAAATACACAGATGATGACAAAGAGGTGTTTGGCAGTTTTGTTACACTAGTGTTAGCTCACTTTATAGAGCACAGTGAGACTTCAGCTTAATCTGATTGTTCTGCCCCTAAAACTGTGGGCAGGAGGACTGAAGACACAGGAAAACAAGACCAGTTCCAAGTGGATAAAGAGTGTACCTGCTGTGCAGGTAGAGTTAGAAAACCATCCTACCAAGAAAACGGCCATGGAGTAATGCCTAACCACAGCCTGTACTTAGCTGCTACAACAGCAGGTATTTATCTACTCGAAACGTTCTTACGAATGTAGCCAGCTGACGGGAACCCAGAAGGTCTCAGTCTCCAACCTGTCGAATGTTGTTTTAAGCTCACTGTAAGCTGTAGCGAGGTCGTCATTGACGATCACCTTATCGAAAAGGTGCCCATACTGGCTCTCCATCACGTGGGCAGATTTGATCATTTCATGAAAATCTTCTTCCTAGTAAGATCAGTGCAAGGCATCGTCAGTCCGCAGCAACACCACGTAACTCCTTCTGTGGTAAACTCAAAGCTCACTGCTTACTTCTCATCTCATCAAGAGATGGAAACTGTAATTTTAATAAAATAATTAATTGCCATTACAAGTGATCTCAGAGAGCATTCTCACAAATAGACTTTGCTCAATAGGCAACTCTCTCATCTCTCCCCTTGCAGTGACACAATTGTCACTGCAAGGTAATTACAGAGACAATTTCTGTTACCAGTACCAGTGGAAAAGATTTCTAGCTGTTTACTTTGATGATACATTTCAAGCTTCACTGCTTGAGTCTCAGCTTGCTATTAGCATGCAATATATTACAGCACAGCCTTTGTTCTTCTAACAGCTTGGTAGAAGCTGTATACACCTGGTTTGACATGGCTCAGTGGATTCCCCTTCATGTTTGGGGAAGGAACAAATTTTAGGAATTTAATTATTTACATAACACTGAGAGATTAATCCCACTCTAACTAAGCAATATCCTGAAGGTTATTCTTCAGAATGAACTCCTCTTACATTTTACATGCTATAGAACATATTCTTCTAGCACAAAATCTCCAAACTGTTTCAAACGCCTGTTCCACACAAATACAGAAGGTGACTACATCTGTGACTCTGAAACAAAATCTAAAAAATCCTAAATAACATCTGAACAAGGGAAAATGATAAAATAAATGCAGATAAAGTCTAATGATGATCAGCTTTACTTTAACTTCAACTGAAACAAGTTTTCGTTGTATTTCAAGGAAGTAATTAAGTTACTGTTGGGTAATCTGACTTTATTGTCAAAAAGCAGCATTTGTTACTTGCTTAGATTGTTCTCCTTTCTTACATTGTTCATTTCCTTATAACATTTTAAAAATGTTTTATCTTATCCACAAATACTTTTTTTATTAAAGTAGCATTACTTTTTTTAATTGTTGCTTTATATTTGAGCTTTCCTCTAAATTTAGACCCAATAAAATAAAACAAGGAAATGCTTACACTTGAATAGAAACATCTAAGTCCAGATGCAAATTTCTGAAAGGAAATCCACAGTGATATTTCTTATAAACACCTACTTGCATTCTGGGGCTTCTTCAATGACATAAAATCAGAGGACCACGGAAATGTAAATACCACAAACAATAAAAACATCACAGTAAGTCTGTGACGTGTGAGAAGCTGGGAAACAAGAAACTACATGCAAGCCCTGACAAGTACTGTTGATGAGATCTCCACTGATGACCTTTATTTTCAAGGTAAACCACTACAACAAAACTCTGACCAAGTCTGCACGTTTTACCACATCTGAATGACTTACTGTAAAGGGTTTTGCAGTTCCCTTATCATCTTTACTTGAAATAATCTTGGCATTTTTTCTGGTTTCTCTCAAACGGTCAAGTGATGGAGGCTTTATAAATATAACAAATGGTTTAAATTCGTATGTCCGTAAGTGTTTCACAGTCTGGGAAGAGGGAAGATTTTTAATTAATTAGTAGTTTATTTTGCACAATGGATTTTACCGTAACAAAAGAAACACTCCAATAACCAAAATAAACCCATAAAGCACTGCTACACTGCTAGAAGGCTATTTTTCATTTATTGCCATCCTGTTCTGCTGATAGGCATTGATTAATGTGAGGAGAATTTTCATACGGATGGTAAGAAAACCCTTTCTCCAAAGGTGACCGTGTCTCTTGATTTCCACACGGGCTGCTGGTAAATCCCATCAGCCCAGCAGAGACTGGGCTGTCCACAACAGTGCCACTGCCAGTGGGAGGATGGATGGGAGCAGCAGGGTGTTCAGGAGAGGAGGAAAAGTTCAACACAGCAGGAATAATACCTCTGTACCCATGAAAAGTAGTGGAAGAAGGCATCTGTGACACTCGGTCATAACAGGTCAATGATTTTTCTTTTCAGTACTGTGCGTCCACCACACAACCCCATGCAATTTTTTCTTCCTAAGCAAGTCAAGTTATGCTACATATGGAACTAGAGATAGGTCTACAGAGCAGAGTGAAGCAGGGATAGCCAGCAGCTTAGTGTGAAGTAGGGCTGGCCAGAAGCTTTCTGTCCTGTTCACACTGCCAAGTCCCTTAGGAAAACGCTGTGTTGAATAATGAGATCCCAGAATAGTTCACAAGCCTGGGTCCCCGAGAAAATTAAGTGCTTTGCTGGAAAACAGGCCCATCCTGGACAGGCAAGGATCTTGCAGAGCAAGAGCCCCTGCCCAGCTCCCTCCTCTCCTTGCACAAGGTCTGGGTTCCCCAGGTGCTCCTCGTTCAGCGCAGCCCCCTGCCTTGCTCCTAGGGCACAGCCCTGTGTCTAAACTGCCGGGGTTCAGAAGTCATGGGCTGGCCACCCTTGGAGAAGAAATACTTTGGCTGGGTTTACACAAACTAGTCCAGCTCCTGGAAGCACTGTGGTTATTAGTAGCATAAAAATTCCCAGTGGAGCTGTTCAGCGGGGTTGAAAGACGGGGTCAACGCAAGAACAAATGCTTTAGAGAGGAATGTTCTTAGCAATTATCCAGCCAACATCACATTTAGTGCGTTCCTTGACTCATGTCCACCCTGTGTGGAAACCCTTGGCATGAATGGTCTGGTTAAACGTCTGAAAGAGAGTTGCTGGCCTGGGTGATAGCTCAAAGTCATTCTGAAAACTGAAGTTTGAGAGAAAACCTCTAACCCAAACAGCAGAAAGAGGAAGGGAAATACAGGAGCATTTTGTAATTAAATCTTTGGTATTATGCCTCAGGCTTTCAATTCACTTAATTACCAAGCTGAATACTTGCCAATATGTATTGAAGTTTCCTTCCCCTCCTTTCAGAGAGCCTTGCTGTGATAAAGGTACCCAGCCAACCCACTCAACAGTCATTCAGCACGGAATAAAATATTCCTTTTTAGAAACAATATTTTTCCTGGAATCCCAATATGCAATATGGGGAACTACAAGATTCCAAAAGATGTCCTTACTTACATGAGGCTGCACATCCAACAAACAAACTTTGTTTTTAGCTAGAACTGATCGAACAGAGTCTAAACTTGTGCCGTAGTAGTTGTTCTTATACTCGCCATACTCGATAAACCTGTGGCAGAAGGTGAAAACAACTGGAATCATTTCCATTTTCTCCAGAAAAAAAAGACAGAAATTATCAGTTTGCTTTATAAGATCTAATTCAGGAGCAAAAATATTTTACTTTACATGAGCGTTTTACTGTGTTTTATAAAGGAAATGCTGTCAAGTACTTCAGCATGTCAATTTTAAGAAATCTTCTACTTTCCCACTTTCAAATCAGTAACACCTGCTTGTATTACAGTTCAAGAGAAAAAAGTACTGTAGTCCAACAGCCCACTAATGTTTTCCATCACCTCTTTTTCTGAACTAATGCAATGCAATAAAACAGTGGATAAGCTAAACAATAGAAACTACTGAAATTTCACTGCACACTACAGAATATCCAAATTCTCTGTCTCAGAAGAGGAGGAGGAGTGACAATGGTGCTAATGGAACCAAGGCGGCTGGTTATGTGCTATAAAAGTAGAAGCGCTATTTGCCAAAAAAGCAAAGTGCAGTTTGAAGTTTCAATAAAACCCACAGCTTTGTGTCTAATACACTTTTGCCCTCTGAAACACTGGGGCAGAATTTCAAGCTACAGTTTTTTTACAGGCTGCTGGAGAGCACGATGCTACCATTGTCTTCATCTTAGTTTAATTTCTGGAGGCTTTACAGGCAGGGGCTTCATTGTAGATCTCTAAACTCAAAAGCCGAGGAAGTGCCTGGCCTGAAAGAGAGCAGAACTACACAAACATTGACTCAGGCACGTTTGCAGCCCTTCCAGGCCCTCCCTCCCACGCTGGGCTGCACTGCCTTACTACTATGACAGATGATGCTCTATTAAGAGTGTTCACCCATCCTTAACACCTACAATTTCAGTGTCTTCTCTTTAGGAGCTTAAGTACTGAAACTACTTAGAAGCTTAGAAACAGTTGTGTTTTCACATACTGCTTTTTTTTGCTCTTTGTTTTTGCTAGCTGCTTATATATCAAAATGTGATTTTAACACATCCTCAAAGCACTGCAAGTTATACTGACTTTGATTTCTTATCTAAAAATACAAACAGCCCTATTTTATATTAAAGCCATTGTTTTTACTACAGTTCTACTTTAAATCTTGTTGACATACTTGTTATTCTGTACGTCTGTCTCAAACAAGTGCTTGGAAATGAAAGTGTATTCAACACCGTCACTTTCTTGGCTTCTCCTTGGACGGGTAGTGTCTGCAGTTTGAGTAAATGAAGGAAAAATAAAGGAAAGATGCACAAAACAATATAATGCAAACCAGTTCAGGAAACACTGAAAAGCACACAACCCTTGTGCAATAGTAAGTGTAGCAGTTCCCTCACTTTTGATGGGCCCGAAGCTGCTCTGCATCTGGTAGGCAGCACACGAGCACATGACACGATTCAGTTTTAAAAGCATGCAGGAAAAGCAGGAAAAATCCTACTGGACAAGTATCTGATTATCATTTTTATTAACTAGTGGAAAACTCCAATAAAATGAGGACAGCTGAATAATAAAGGGAGCAGCAGTCTATAACAATTACTCCAGCCTTGCCACTTGTTAAGTGCATTAGCATACGAGACCATAAAGGGAACCAAAGCTCACCAACCTGATTTATAAAATATTACGTTCATTAACAACACTTGTAGCTGTGGTATGTGAAACATGATAGTAAAAAAATGGGGGGTGAATTTTATGGTTTAGTGCTTTTCTTTTTCTGGTGTCAAAATCAAATGCCTTTTTCTTTCAATAGCTTTGTGGTATTTGCACTTCTCACTTTCCCTGAAGTACCAGGCATAAAGAGTTTGCTTATAAATGAAACTTATCTGTGGAGCTGCTGCTTACAGTTAACAAACCCATTCAAAAGTCCTATTTAATATAGGTTGCATGTTACAGTGCCATGTATTCTTCCTTGCATATGAACATCCACAACTTGCTTGCAGTAACAGTTTGAAAAGCCATTTGATATCAAGTTCTCCTTAGGCTGACACAAAGAGGAGCATTTCCAAGACAAAAACTCCAGTTCTCCCTGCAAGTCCTGACTTACTGCATTTCAGGGAGAGGGATTACTTTATGTGTTTGTTTTAAACTATAACCACAAATTTGGAAGAGAAAAGAGAAAGGCAGCTTGATGAATTCTGGCACTTTTTTTGAGAAATAATTCTGGGCAAATAACTGCATATATTCCAATGTGTTAAATATTTGGGAACATCTGGCTTTTTTTTGTTGTTGTTTTCAATACCCAGCTGAAGCAAATATGTGCAAAAGAAATGACTTCCAAAACCCAAATGTATTCATTTTTCATTCATATATACACAATATATATTCAAATTCATTCATATATATACATTGTATAGAAAACCTATACTTAAAAAAAACCTGTGACAGTATCTCCCAAATTCAGAATGTTGGACCTGTATTTTTCAAAGATCCCGTATAGGAAGCACAAGTAGAAGTAGAAAGCAATCCAAGGAACAGAAGTCTGGAACTGTCAAGTCCTCCACATTACAGAAAACCCAGTAAAGTGCTACAGAAGTTAATATAGCACAATGTTATTCAATATTATAAAAGTCATGCTACTTAGGTAAGGGGTAAGAGGAAAAATAAACCCCCAAATCAACTTTCCTAAAGCTAATCAAAGGGATTTAATGAATTTATTCACAGGATCAAACTGTTTAGCATCAGTCTTCATTTTCAACCTGTCTAATATACAAAGGCCATTTTGCTGAAAGCAAGCACTGGTAACAGAGTACACTTCACTTTTTTACAGCCAAATCCAGGGTGTTCTTCAGCTGAGTTTCATTTACTAAACCTCGCTGACATCAATCACGTTGAACTTGTACTAAAGGTCTCCTGCAATGCCTCTGAGCCAAAATGTCCTATCAGTTTAATCAATGCTATTTAAAATACAACTGCAGCAGCACTTTTAAAAATTAGAAAAGCGATCTGGATGCCAGGCATGCATTTAGAGACCCAAATTTGAAAGTGCCTTAAGGTAATGCAATGATAAAGGATAAAAATGCGAGTTTCGCATTAGGAGAACAGAAGTGTATTTTTACTTACGTGGCACTGTTACCCCGTAATGCTGGGTGTCGCTGATCAGCAATTTCCGTTTAAGTTCATTCAGCCCAACCCCTACAGGACCTGAAAGAAAGAAATCGTGCTGTTTCCCAGCAGCCAGCTCTCTCTCATAGTCAGGTATATATACTCTCTCGGCTAAGACTATGTAGCATATAGCTGTTATACATACTGGCTTTTAATCAGTCATTTGGAAACGCCCATGGTTCAAGCCTGTGCACTGACAAATTTCAGGTGATGTATTTGGCAGTTGCTCTGCTCAGACTCTATTACTGAGGAAAAATCTGAAAAGTTGACAGCAAAGCTAACTTTCTTTTCTACAGCAACTACCTTCAGCGTGCACCCATCTCCATCCTCAGCACTACGAGAGACCCCGGCACCCTAACCTGCAGCCTTCCAGCACGAAAGCTGGTTGCGCTATTCACTTTGCCAGAATATCCCCAACTCACAGACTAGAGGACCCCAGCTGGCACATGCAGAGTCCCCCTAAAGCCTCTGCACCCCGTGTGTCAGCACAGCCTTTTCCTCGCTTCCCTCCAGCTGCTGCATCCCCTATCTGCACCAGACTCCCCTGAAGACAATGCTCCCACCTTCTCCCCATAGGCCTGGGAGCACCTTCCAGACCTGGATGCAGGAAGGAATACTATCCGGCTGTAACTCTCTTTTTGACAACCATTCACCTTTTGACAACCATTCACCTTTTGACAACCATTCACCTTTTGACAACCATTCACCTTTTGACAACCATTCACCTTTTGACTGTGTGAGGGTGGCATCGCACAGGGGGAGAAAGGAAGGGACAACACTCCCCAGGTCACAACCCATTTGGGATGTTTGGGTTTCTTTTTTTGTTGTTGATTTTGTTTTAAAATATGCCTGTCTCCTGCCTGCTGTCTGAACTGGTCCAAAGCAAATGTTTCCTTCCTCACACAGCTGCCAAAGAGAGACCACTCTTGGAAAGAGGATGGCAGGAAGAAACAAAGACTGCACGGAATATTTTTGACCCATCTCCTCCACCTCCATTTGAGTACTGCTGTCCTAGAAGCTACTGACCAGATGCTCCTTTTGGCTTTTAGGCCATTCCTAATCCTTAGCCATTTGCCTGTTGTGCTTTAGGTTTAAGGAGAGTACTCTGTCCTGTGAGGTCTCAAAGGCTCCACGGGCAAATGCTGCCTGCCCCCAGGAGCCCTTCATGCAGGGTTCCAGCCTGCGTGGCCCCTTCTGTGGAGGAGCCATGATGTGTGTGTGAAGATAGCTCAGCTCTTCATGCCCATGTGTCTCTGACAGTGCAGTCACTTAATTTCTGCACAGCCAGGTCAAGAACAGAATGCAGAGGAGAGTGAGTCACTGGAAGCACATCCCAAACAATAAAAGGATAATACATGTGGTTTTGAGGAAAATTCTTGCTCTTCTAGTAAAAGTGGCACATTTACGCATTGAGTGCTTCTTAACAGAGACATTTTAAACATTAGAAATAAAAAACTTAATAAACATTGTAATGAAGCGGTGATGTACTGGTTAATTACTAGTGAGAGTCCAAAAGCAAAGACTGATGCTTCAGCACCTTCAGGTGCCTATTTGTAAAAATTACTATCCATCTGCCCTGTCTGAAGCTGGAAACACACAATGATGAAAAGCAAATGCTTGCTACTTTGCTGCTACTCCCAGACTATGGTCTCTCTGTAAAATCTGAGTTTCTGCATTTATAGTTTTTATATGTTTACCTAAGTTAAACACACAACTACATTTCAAGTTTCATCTCTGACCTGCCTGTAAATTAATCTATCAGTATGTATAAATGTTTATTTAATATGGTGTACAGCAGCCTCTACTGGTGCATGTCTGCCGAGGAAAGTAATGTGTTATGTAGATAATGGCATCACTTCTGTTCTTATTTAAAAAAAAAAAATCTGTTTTTAATAATTTAGCTACTTAAGGCAAATATGGATTCTTATAGGAAAAATAATTAAAATTCTAAAGATTTCCTAGCAAGGCAGAATGAAACAAGTGCAATTATCATTTTAAAAATCACTGTATGTCTTTCAAGCAAAAAGTGTTTCCTATCAAATCTACACAAATATTATTTCCTCAGTCTATATGCTGTCAAATCAACAGTATGCTTTTAGCTCTATTTATATATAAAGAATCCAGGCTTTGCTTCCTGTGACAGATGCTTTGGAAACTTACATCAAATCTGTTTCCAGACCACAACTTCACAACTACTGTGTCTCCGATTCCAGACTGCTGTTTTAAAATCCTCTTTAAATTTAACTACTGAAAGGTGTAAATTCTTTTGCAGTGCTGTCTTCTTCTTCAGTTCTAACCGTGGCATATGGATGCTGAAGGCTGATTCCTAATTAGCAACACCATCCATTATGTTGATCTTTATACTACATCTCCCAAGTGTAATATATGCTTCTATTCTGAATATTCTTTTCATTTTGATGCAGCAGAGAAAGATGCCAGTTTTTAATAATTGTGAATCTTACTGCAATTTGAACTCAAGAAGAAAATAAAGCATCAGGATTGAAAAGGACAATCCAGATTCCTACAGTAAAATGCCAGACATGAGGGATCCATGACTGTAGCATAGTTTTGGTTTACTATAAATCACCCCAGGCAGCAATATTTAGTGTTAGGGTGGTAGCTTTAGATATATTTTGTTTATTTTTTTCAAGGAATATTTATGTTGCTTGCTGTTGCATGTTGAGCCATGTAAGCTAAATAACGGTCAAATCCTGCACAAAAGGACTGTAGTGCCTGCCTTCCTTTATTGAGGGACATTTGCAGAACTAAACCACCCATCATTAAAACTCGCATTACATTTTGTACCATTCAGATATGTCTGAAGGAAACTGAAAAAACTATTTGATGTAAGTTCAGGTCTCAGAGGATTTAACCCAACCAGCAATTCTTCACTCATACACACATACTGAGCTCCTAGAAGTCTACCAGTCTTCCAGAAAAGATTTTGGGAATTAGGTGATAACATCCCTACTGGGATCATAAAGACCATGTAGAAAGCATGCCTTGACAGAGGCTCTGCATCTCAATTACTAGTACAACTGATCACTATAATGCAATCACTGCACATGCATGTTCGACTGTAGCTCAATGGAGAAAAGTAGAACCTCGTTTCTTTTGAGTTACAGTAAATTATAACTAGTAGTGGGAGTGTAGTTCTGAGATTTGTCATTCACTGAAGCAGGATCAGTGAGTTTATGTTCATGTTCTCTTGCGCAAGGCTAGGCAATGTGTCACATCCTATACATTCACTCCTGAGCCATGCTAACCCACCCATGCCTTCAACCCGGAAGGTTTAACAAAGATGGCCACTGTAGGTCTCTTTCTTCATTATCCATATAGTTTACCTGAAGTAGTATGGCCATAGGAGGCCACTTTCCTGCACTATTGCTATAGATCTATTAAGTCTCCATAAGTCACTATGGAACACGCGTTTAAAGGCAAGTCAGGAAACATGGAGAGTTAGAAGCCACTTCTGTTTCATTCTCCCCTGCTCTAAGACAGACCTGGCCCTCACATAGCTCCTTCATGATAAAACCAGAAGTGATGGATTTTTTTTTAATGTAAGCAGTATAACAATAGAGAACTTTTCCAGACACAGATTCCTTTTCTTCTTAGTGATAACACCTTTGCAGGGAGTACTGACAGTCTAATTCACAGACAGCAGACAGCTGCATGCATTCTGGGGAAAAGATACCTATGGTTTGTTATTGCTGACCTTGCTTTATCCTTCAGATAGCTCTGACTTTACACAGCATAGCTGAAACTATACTGTGTAAAGTTATAGTATGTGGCGCATCCATTCGGACTCTTTGGAAGTAAAATCTGTGCTAGTTTGGCCCTCACAATGACTGAAGCAGAATCATTTGTAAGCAGGACTTATCCCCCATTAATATAAATGAAAATTCTGTTGTCTAAATAATAAGTTTCATGGTAAAATATTCTGCCTTTGCCCAATAGGGCTGCCAGGTATCATGCTTAACAGTGGTGTAGGCAATATTTGTGAAGTAAAACTTCAAGGATTTGTCTGCAGTCTAGGAACAGTTAAGTTACCAAAAAATAACTGGTGACATGATATTAGATCATTTTGGTTTTACAGACTTATCACATTTATAAAAACTAAAAAACATGACAGAAGCATCTGTATCATTACTGCTTCACACGATCTGTTATTTTAGCCCTAAGGATAAGCATGACTTTATTAATGAACCTACATTTGCAGACACGGTAAAACTGTGATAAACTAATACATCTAGCAGAATTTGAGACTAGTGTACATCACACTGCAGGGTGCTAAAAATTACTCTGTGCAATTTGCTTTCTGTAAATTGAACTAGACCGATTTAAAATCAAGCCAAAAGAAAGTTCCGTTTCAAAGTCGTCAAACCCCTTCCTCCTACAAAAGGGCAAACCAAAACCTGAAACACCTTCCAGCAGTAAATTATACATTTAGGCTTAGCAAAACAGAACAGGTATTTAGTGCCCCCAATTACGCCTATGAATTAATTATCCATCCCTTTGTTTCCTGGTATTAATATCCAAATTATATTTGACAGATTATATTGAATGCTGCTACCGGCACACAAAAAAGCTTTTTAAATGTGTTCACTTCTACTCTACCTGTATTGCTTAGCTCTGCTAGTTTTTCCACATTTTGCCCAAGACATTTTTATGGTATTGGCCAGACTTAAGCTGCTCCTAATATCCAGAGAAAAACATTAGAATTACCAAAGTCTGCAATAAATTTCTGAATTGCTTTTGTCACTGAAAAAGCACACTTTCTTCTTTTGACTTATTACAACAAAAATCAAATGAAATCTCTAGGTATGCTTTAGATCAGACATATGCAATTTGTTATAAAATGTCTACTTATCACACTTTTGCACTGCACTCTGTTGATGTAACTGAAAAATCAACTCAACCGTGTTATTACTTGTTGTATATAGCCCACAATCTCACAGTGATCACACTAGTAGGTGGCTGAATTTTAGTGCTAGAGAGTGACAAAACTATTTATTAAAAACTAAATTTAACATTCCCTTGGATATGGGCAATATAAAAACACAGCTACTCAATAATTCGTAACAGTGCCTGGTAGAGGGTCATATTTCTCTGCTCTGCTGCTTTCAGAATGAAGGAAACTTTACTAATGAAGCCTCAGCTTATGTGCTACTGCAAAAGAAACAATAAGCAATGAAACAGTTCTCATTGTTACTTTAATGGTTACCTCTGAAAGATTCAAGATAATATACTTTCACTTTTTTTAGGAGACTGAAGCAATGCATTTTGATTAGATAATAAATGCTGTGGGGAAGCCATGGCAATGACAGAAAGCTGACTAAGGATGACTTCTTGAGCCTTCTGCAGCTGTGCTTGCACCCACTCTTGGCCTACAGAAGTCTACCTCTCATCCACCTTTCTCTTCATTTGTCTGCGTATTCTAACACGGTAAATGGCTTTGTTTCTTTCCAATAGATATATATATTCATATATATATCTATATATATATATTCTTTGCTGACTACAGGTATTTATTCTGTTCTTTTTAAATGTATTGATCAATCTCTAAGAGCAGAACGCTGACCTAATCCTTTTTAGCACAGCTTGACTGTCAGGTTCAGACTAGTAACTGTAGTAGCTATATTTTAGTATCTCCCCCTTTGGTTTAACGATCCTTTAAACATGATCTTCTAAAGCATCCTTATATGCAAGCTGGGACATCCTGTCTAGAGAGGTTGACTACTAGATAGGTAGAAAAACTGGATGGATGACCATATTCAAAGGGAATGGGTTATTAGTCTGTACTCTACTAGGTGACTCATTACAAGTGGAATTCATCAGGTATCTACCCTGGGACATACTCTATTTTGTATCTTAATCAATAACCTGGAGGAAGACACAGAACGGGCCCTTGTCAAGTTTGCAGACGTCACAACAGGTGATGCAAGTGACTTGCTCAAGGGCTTCCATTCAGAGGGATCTTGATATGCTACAGGCATGGGCTGGCAGAACTTCGTGGAACTTGATAAGGACAAATACAAAGTCCTGCATCTGGGATAGACTAAGCCCCACAACAGTACATGCTGTGGACTGACTGGCTGGGGAGCAGCCTAGATGAAAAGAACTTGGGGGTTCAAATGGGCAGTGAGCTAAGGAGTAGTCCACAGTGATTGCTGGTAGCAATTAAGGCTAACAGAAGACGGAGCTGTATCAGCAAGAGCCTAGCCTGTAGCTAGAGGGAAATTATTCTTCCTTTTTAATCATTTGTTAGATCCCGAGAGGAATACTCTGTCCATGATCAGCCTTGCATTACAGCAAAGATGTTGATAAAGTGGAGCAAAGCCAGTGGAGGGCCTCCAAGAGCACTTGTAGCTGAAGCACATGATCTGTTAGGAAAGGCTGAAGGAACAGGGCTTGTCTAGCTTGGAGAAGTTTTCAGGGGAACCCTTCTGTTGAGAGGATGGAGGCCACTTCTTTACTGAGGTGTGAGATGGCAAGACAAGAGAAGACACAGGAGGAAGCCAGGTTCCCAAAGTTGTTGTCATCAGCTACTTTGAGTTCAGTGTTAATCCTGCTGAATGAGAGGCTAGACCAGGAGACGCTTAAGATCCCTTCCAATTTAAATAATTTTGTGGTAACCATTGTGCTAATCAGCAGTCCTATGTTTTATCAGCTCAAAAATGAAGAAAAACAACTTACCAACCAAAACTACAAGCCTGTATTTGTCATTAGGTTGTCGTCTATATTTTGCAACTTCTTCATATGTTGGGATGTCTGCTGTATCATACTGATCACTCTTCTTGCACTCATACATAGATTTGTTTGTTTTTTTATCTTTTCTGCTAAGGCGAAAGCTTCTTCTAAAGCCAGCTGCAATAAGAACAGGATTTTTTCAAAGTGAGAAAGTAAGTCTTCTCAAAACACTTGAAAACAGTCTCTTCCAAACATTGGAGGATTGGTGCACGGAATAAAAAAATGTATTATATGTTTAATAAGCCAGGTCATTAGAACAATATTTTGCTGCAGTTTAAACTGTACCAGGTGACTATTTGAACTGCAAAATTAAGATTACCAATAAAATCATAAGTTGCAACAAGCTGCAAAATATCATTACAGTAAGTTGTTAACATATTTAGATAACTTGAGTATCTTACACATTGGTGTGTATACACACAAGGAAGTCCATGCAATCTGGACTCTCATATCACACTTAGTGCTTTTCTATTAAAACACCATTGCACACAGACATCAAGTACAACATACGACAGAAACACACCTGGTAGTTGAAAGGGTTAATGAGAATTAACCTTTGAACAATTTTTTTGTGCTTAGCTCCATGCTGATAGTATAAAGAAGTGCACAAAGCCTTTCCTGAAGATGTTTAAAAGTAAAACCAAACACTGTTAGTTAAATTCCAAACCCCTATGAAACATCTTATACAATATGGTACCCAGATTTCAGATATGTTAGCATGCAATTAAAAGTTAATATTCCTACTAAATTTACATTTACAGTTGCATCAAGAGTGTGACATCTACAGTGCCCATCTAGAAGACTGGACATTTCACATAACTTTTAAGCCCTCTCAAAGGAGATAATCATATGTATTTTCAAACAGAAGAGCACAAAAACCCCCACCCTTCTCCAGTATATGTCAAAGACTAATTTACTCCTTTGTTAATTATTACCTTCCGGTTTTTAAATAAATCCTTTACATTGTATTATATTACAATTTACAGGTATCTCTACACCACCACTTTTGTTCTACAAAGGAACTACAGGAAGTGCTGGAAAGAAGGATTGCAAAGCTGATGTGATTATTTGGGGGTAATAAAGTAAAACACAAACTACAATTTAAATACTGAAAAGATCCCAACACCTTTCCCCTTCCCCCAGAACATTTCGTAGGACAGTTAACGTGTGTAAACTTTTGGTGACCCCAGGCTTTTCAGCAACATGTTTTCATAAACCTGTAACAGCATTTATGCTTAGGTGTTTGAGAAGTAATCATATTACAATTTTTTCTGCAAAGTTAGTATATGGCGAATTCAAGACTCAGTTCTGCAAGCGTTCAGAAGATCTGAAGAAAAATCCTACAAGGCTTAGTTACAGGCTTAGCATTTTGCAAACACAGAGCTTCTCTTGGCATAAATCATTACAGAACATGGATCTCAGAGGATGTTAACCAAATTGTTTATTGACATGAATCCCTATACCTATGGGAATCTACAACACACGCATATGCACAAAAAAAGGAAGAAACATTTCTTTGAGAATAGTGACATCAACCTATTCATACTTAAAATATGAGTAAGTAAAATGAAAATTGATGCAAAAGGTGAAGAGTTAGCATCCACAGAAAAGGCTGATGACGTTTTGGAGAGCTACAGTTTTGTCTAGACTGAGGACATGGACTGGGATAGAAAAGGGACCAAAACAGAAGATATGAAACCAAAATGAAATAAACCAAGTCATGTTTTATTATTTAAAGAAGAATGCTACCACTGAAGTGACTGTAGTCAGAAAAGCCCTACTGCACTTACACACCCAAGATCTAGGAGGTCTTGTCTGCCTTAGGGTGAAGTCTGTCATGAGAAGAGGTGGGTTTTTTTCCCCACATAATTATACCTAACTGTATAGGCAGTTACATAAAGAAAGGTTAAAACTAACATTAGTAATATAGACATGAAGTGAGCTACAACTTTTCTGAGGCCTCATCTAAAAGGCTCCAGGATTTAGAAAGAAAAAATATAAGCTGCCCGAAAAGCAAGCTGAAAATGGTTCTGATGTTGGGTTTGTTCGTTTGTTTCCCTGTATAATCATTTTATAGAATAATAACAAAAGAATAAAAGGAAGAGAAAGAATAATTCTTCACATTTGCTACTAAGCAGTTTACAGAATAAAGAGTTTAGTCACAAAACCCATAATCTACATATCTGGAAAAGGTAAAGAGTAAGAGCAGTGATCACATGAAGTTAAACCAATTTTGTCTGTTCCCATTTGGTATGGACCTTTTAAATTCCAAGAGCTCTGTGCCCAAGTAGCTGTCTCAGGGTGCCATTATCAACAGCTTCTTAACCTCAGCTTGAATGTCAAGCTGCAGAATCTTTAGGAAAAATATTTTTCTGCAAAGTCTTCATATCAATTCAATCTCTGCTGTTAGGTTTTGGTAAGCACACTTGGAACTTGTTCTGCTTTTCTCCATCCACTTCTTTCAGATTTCATTACCAAACTACCAGGTGGTGGTTTATTTAAGAATTTTCATTCCTTCTTCTCTTAAAAGACTTTAAAAAAACCAAAACCCAACCAACTCAAAACCCCAGATATTTTTCCTTTTTGTTTTTTTTCCCATCTTTCAGTGCTGTCTTCAGGCTGCAAGGATTCATCCGTTGTCACTTTTACAGGGTGCATACGAAGCATCACAGTTTCAGGTGATATGGTTCCACTGCTAACCTAGGTTTCCTTGATTAAAACACTTGATATTTCTGTGACTGAAACTCACTAGTAAATGAAAATAGCAACAATGTCCTGTATATTAAGAAGGTTCAACAACAAGTTCAACTAAGACTTAGATGTTATGGAATAGCTATTATATTAATTAAAAAGAACAAACATGGGAGGCAGAGATAACAAAGATGATTTCCACTGTAGCTATTTCTCTGCAGTGTGCTGGTGAAGGTGCTCTGTAAAATTACTGAATATTAAAAAAGTGATATGCTGGTTGCTTTGCCACGTTAAGACTATTGTCAATTTGAAAGTTGTTTTAACTGTTCCTCAAAGCCCCTACACAGAAACCCAAGAAAGCTTGCTTTATGCAGCTTTCAAACCAAGGAAAATACACAGTTCAGAGAGGAATGATGAGACCAACATTTTTATGATATTGTTACCGTGCTCGTGGAAACATAATTCTTTCTCACATCTGCCATTCTATATCCTCATATATGTGGCTTAGTTTTATTGTGATCTTCACAAGCTATCAAGAACCGTTAATAAATATTTACTAATGAACTCTGCATTTACTACTGCATTGTATGTTGGGCATCCATAACTACAAAAGGATTAAACTGAACTGAAACAACACTGTGCTTGCAAGCAATAAAAACATTCATGTACAAGCAAAAAGTATTCTGCTAATGCTGGCATTTTAAAGTTTAGGAAAGATGAAAACCAAACTTCATATACGTAAATTAACTATTGAGCGAAGAAGTTATTCAGAACCTCAGCCTTCTCCAAACTGGCTACACAGGATTTGGAGAAGGCTGAGGTTCTGAATGACTTCTTTGCCTCGGTCTTCACTGGCAAAGGATCTGACCAAACCACCCAAGTCTTGGAAGGCAGATGCAGGGACTGTGAGAATGAAGACCTTGGGCCCACTGTAGGAGAGGAACTGGTTCGAGACCATCTTAAAAATCTGAACGTGCACAAGTCCATGGGACCTGATGAAATCCATCCGCAGGTCCTGAAGGAGCTGGTGAATGAAGTTGCTAAGCCACTGGCCATCATATTTGAGAAATCATGGCAGTCAGGTGAAGTTCCCGATGACTGGGAAAAGGGAAAATATAACCCCCATTTTCAAGAAGGAGAAAATGGATGACCCAGGGAACTACAGAGCAGTCAGTCTCACCTCTGTGCCTGGCAAAATCTTGGAGCAGGTTCTCCTGGATGGCATGCTAAGGCACATAAAAAAACAACAAGGTGCTTGGTGACAGCCAGCATGGCTTCACTAAGGGGAAATCCTGCCTGACCAATTTGGTGGCCTTCTATAATGGGGCTACGGAACTGACGGACAGGGGTAGAGCAGTTGATGTCATCTACCTGGACTTGTGCAAAGCATTTGACACTGTCCCACATGACATCCTTGTCTCTAAATTGGAGAGACATCAGTTTGATGGATGGACCACTCGGTGGATGAAGAACTGGCTGGATGGCCGCACGCAAAGAGTTGTGGTCAGTGGCTCAATGTCCGGCTGGAGACCAGCAACAAGTGGCGTCCCTCAGGGATCGGTGTTGGGACCGGTCTGGTTCAACATCTTTGTCGGTGCCATGGACAGTGGGATTGAGTGCGCCCTCAGCAAGTTTGCCGATGACACCGAGCTGTGTGGTTTGGTTGATACGCTGGAGGGAAGGAATGGCATCCAGAGGGACCTCGACACACTTGTGAGGTGGGCTGATGCCAACCTCATGAAGTTTAACCATGCCAAGTGCAAGGTCCTACACCTGGGTCAGAGCAATGCCAGGCACAGCTACAGGTTGGGCAGAGAAGAGATTCAGAGCAGCCCTGCGGAGAAGGACTTGGAGGTGTTGGTTGATGAGAAAATGAAAATGGGCCGGCAGTGTGCGCTTGCAGCCCAGAAAGGCAACCGTATCCTGGGCTGCATCAAAAGGAGCGTGACCAGCAGGTCAAAGGAGATGATCCTGCCCCTCTACTCTGCTCTCATGAGACCTCACTTGGAGTACTGTGTGCAGTTCTGGTGTCCTCGACATAAAAAGGACATGGACCTGTTGGAACAAGCCCAGAGAAGGGCCACGAGGATGATCAGGGGACTGGAGCACCTCCCGTATGAAGACGGGCTGAGGAAGTTGGGGCTGTTCAGCCTGGAGAAGAGAAGGCTGCATGGCGACCTCATAGCAGCCTTCCAGTATTTGAAGGGGGCCTATAGGGATGCTGGGGAGGGACTCTTCATTAGGGACTGTAGTGATAGGGCAAGGGGTAACGGGTTAAAACTTAAGCAGGGGAAGTTTAGATTGGATATAAGGAGGAAATTCTTTCCTGTAAGGGTGGTGAGGCACTGGAATGGGTTGCCCAGGGAGGCTGTGAATGCTCCATCCCTGGCAGTGTTCAAGACCAGGTTGGACGAGGCCTTGGGTGA